TGCATGATTATTTAACTACAATCTGTCAATCCCCTGAAGCTCTTTGATACGTCACTGAGTGCTTGCTGAGAAACGTACTGGAAAATGAATCGCGATTTCGAAATCACTTTGCTAGCAACCTGCATATTTGCTCATTGGACAAGCGCTAACTGTCCTTTGCACAGAAATTTTGAAACCCCCCACAAATTCTCAAGTCAAAAAGATAAAAAATGGATTTCCAACCAGATCTTCCAATTCCGATCTCCTATGTATCCGGTAGATACCTGTTGTTCTCAATTGACGCCGTGACATACCTGCGACGTGAGCATCATATTTGCGGTGTGCTCATCGGGACACTGCCCCAGATCCCTCAGCAGAATGTCTTTCTGGGTCTTCCTCTGCAGCTGATGCCCGAGGAGGCACGGCTGTTGGTGGACAAGGGTGTAGCTTGCATCGTAGACGAAGCCAAGGCACACGAAGGCATGAATACCCTCTTAGAAGAAGATCGCAGACGGCATCTCCGCGACCTCGAATCCCAAGGTCTGCATGTCTCGCGTATCCAATTGGATCGCAAAGAGCGCAACCGGGAGCAGGTCTTGAAGAAATTAGAAGAAAAGAAAGCAAATGCGGAGGCCAAAGCCAGTGCTGCTGCTGCCCCGGCACCTACGGTTCCTGAGGAGGCAACCTCCACCCCGTCTCCGAAGAACCCTGCCATCGTTGACCTCTTCAACGCAGAGGAGCGCTCATCGTCTCCATCTACCGCCTTGACGAGCACACCCTCTCAGGGCGCAATGGCCATCACTCCCGCAACATCGTACCCGCCTCTTCCCACACCTTCGTCCTCGAGCTACCTCTCAGCACCAGAAGTGCCACCTTCCTATCCTCTCTTCGCCCACCTCCACTCCAAAGGATACTTCCTCTCTCCCGGTCTGCGCTTCGGGTGCCAGTACATGGCCTACCCGGGTGATCCACTGCGCTTCCACTCGCACTTCCTCGTGGTGTCTTACGACTGGGACCAGAATATCGATTTGATCGACCTTGTTGTCGGCGGCAGACTGGGCACTGGTGTGAAGAAGGGCTTTTTGGTCGGTGGAGCACAGAAGGGAATTGATGAGGTCGATTCGGAGGCTGATCGTGTGGCTACTGTGCGGGCTTACAGTCTTGAATGGGCTGGAATGTGAAGGAAGAAGGACGTGAAGGGTTCCATACCCTTCATTTGTTTTCCTTTCCATTTACCAGGCTTACGGCTTTGATTTACCCTTGCAAGGATCCATGGCATAGATCACGCACCATGCTAGCAGATCGTTCTTGCCTGCCTTTGGGTTCCTCGAACCAGATGCACGACTTTCCATCATGCCTGGTCTTATTGAACCTAAGGAAAGAATGTATCACTGGTGACTTATATCATCCTCGATCAGCCAAGATGCAGATGATGCTCCCGCCCCATAGGTGGTCTATCATGACTTCGCCTTATAGCGACTTAGGTCGAAGGCTTGCAAGAGTAACAGCATGCGGTTAAGCAGGGTCGTCATGTCTCTGGTCTATCCCTGCATTGCCTGGCTCGAAATTGCGTCTCGTGTGACCGTGATGCCATTCGCAGAAGACTTCACAAAAAAGCATTTACGCAATAAACTTGTTGTCCTGGTAAATCTGTAGTGTCATGTCCCAGCTATTAAAGGCATATCTCGCATGTCAGGCATCTCTAGTCGACTGGGTAAGATTTCTCCATGAACATCGTTATTTCAATTGAGCTTTCCTCTTCAGTGACTTGATGGGGTATTCAAGCTGAAACTCTGTGTGCGGTGCACTTTCCTTTTTCGTCTTGCTTGCGTGTGCCTTCCCACGTCGGGTTGCCAAGCTGCGCACCGTGGTATCACAAGATCGGTCCATTCACTAGGCTTGACGAAGCAAGAATGAGTCTGTGTAGGTTCACAGAACGCCGTCGTGCCCCCGTAAAGCAGATGGATGAAGTTTGAATCTTGAAGACTGAGCAGTCCAAAGCACAGGTATCGGCCTTTACAGCAGGAGCGCACTTGTAACGCATGATGATTAAGCAGTCCGTCCCAATCGGTTGTATATTGACACAAACCAGAAAGAATGACCGCTGTCTCAAATGTAATCAACGTTCCTCCATTTGAACTTCTTGTTAGCTCTGTCCACAGCCCGATTCTCAAACTGGTTTCCATGCAGCTCAAAAACCAACGGCTTGGGAGCAATTGCCTCAGACTGGGCCTGCTCATTCTGCGCTCCGTCGGGCGATGCTGGCACAGGTACCGTGAAACGGAAGATAGTGTGTTCCTTCGGTAAAGCTGTACAAGCAAATCCATGTCAGCATAATCCTGGTATCGCACTTCCTATTCCGCAAGTCCAAACTCACTCTTCATCTCATCCTTCTCAGTAACAATGACGAACGTAAATTTCGTATCCCGCACCACAATCCCCTTAGTGCCAACCCTCCCCGCACATCCACTCCTAACAACCTCAACCTCAGCCCCATGGTAATCCGCACTGACAAGCTTACTTCCATGCGACGCCGGCGAAACATGGCCATGTGGTCCGGCCTTCATATCCAGTATCTCTTGCATATATCCAACCCACAGTTCATGCAAGCCCTTGAAGAGGGCGTATTTGCATTCTTGCTTGGGCAGGTCATACAACCCTGACTTGCGCTTTTCACGCGCTGACAGCGGTTGCGGCTTTTGATGTCGGAGGAAATATTCTTTCTTGCGTAGGCGGTGGAGGCGGCGCCGGGAGCGGTTGTCGGATGCTGAGGGGGAGGTTGCACGGAGGAAGAGTGGTTTTTGTTTGATGCGCTCGGTAAATTGTTGTGTTGAGCTGTCTGGGGAGTGGGCGCGTGAGAGAAGTGTGTGTGCAATGTGGGTTTTGGGTGCTGGCAAGGATGCCATTTTGTGTTATCATGGATATTGGTGTGGCTTTTGTACAACCTTTTCTTTTGTTAGGGCCAGGTGACGGTAGACTGGGGGTTAAGGTTGCGTAGAATGTGGTTGGAGGATAGAGAGAAAAAAATCATTTGATGTCACCGATAAGATATGGAGGACGTCTACGGAGTACAAATCGAAGTCATGTGAGTCCAGCTCGGTTCATCGATGAACTCAGAGCTCAGGTCAACTGAGCTTCCAATTTTTGATACCCTGTCAAACCCTTACCCCTTACCGCTTCCTTAACTAGTTTACACCTAGTCAATATGTTGACACCGCCTTCTTTCTACCTCATTTTTTAAAATATATCTATCTACACCTTAGATCCTGTATAGGTGGTATTTTACCTAAGGTAAGAGTTTTGCTAAAGGTGCCTAGCCTATTATAATCCGTAGTTTAACTCAATTTACCAGTTGTTGTAGGCCAAAACCGGGGCGTTTCTAAGCTATGGATGAAATGGCTGAAACAGTGCAAAATACCCGAAAACATCCGGACCACCATGATGGTGTATCACACACAAATTGTATGGAACGTTTAGTCAGCATTGTCCGTACAGATTGTTAAAAGGCGCGGATTTTGTCATGTTTTTTTTAGAGAACTCAGAGTATTTTTCATGCAACATCTATTGGTCATCCTACACATTGTTGAAACCATAGATCTCTGTCAGAATTGAATCCCGAAATGCCGAAGCAACCCCTGAAATCCAAGAATCGGAGATCCAACAACAACAACAACAACGACGACGACGACATGGATGACTATCTCTACGTGGTACTGAAGGATACAACATCATGGGATTCATGGCTGCCCTATATCAAGTCAATTGCTACTCAGTACGATGTGTGGGAGCTTTGTGATCCATCCCAAAAGGTGGCACCACCACCATTGGCGCCACCCACCAAGGTGATCTCAATTGAAAAAGCAAAGGAGCAGTATAAGGATGACTGGTACCAAGCGAAGATGCTTCTCCATGAAGAATGGATCGCAGAGAACGCTATCTATACCCGGAAGAAGAACGGTGTGGGCATGGTAGTCAGAGCAATTCGAGGCACAGTTCATCCCACATACCAACCTTTGATCATCGAGTATGAAACCCCATGGGAGTTACTATACAACCTGCACAAGAGATTCGCTCCAGAGAGTGACCCCACATACCCAGCTAGGCTTCGTCGGCAATGGCGGAGCCTGGATCGAGGGGTAGATCAAAGCACAGATATCGACAAATGGCTTATCAACTGGGAAACAATGCAAACGCGGTGCAAGCGAGCGAAATTGCCGGAAGCAGATAATGCCAGTCATCATTTTCTTGATGCCATATCGGCGCTTTCACCTGAGTTTTATGGAACCTGGGTTTTGAAATTGCAAGACAGGAGTGACATTGAATTCACCGAACTTCTCGGTCGGTACAGAGCCCATTGGAGGATCACACACGGCAAGTCGACTGGTCAACGGGAGAACTCAGAGTAATCCGTCTGTCTATTGGTCATCATTGTCAAAACCATAGACTTCTGTCAATTACCACTTTGTACAAATCATTTCAATTGATCCATGTCGGAATTTAGTTATAAACGTTCGGATCTATTCTCGGATATCACATTCTTGCGGTGTTTAATCTAAGATTGTCTGTCCCTTGGCTCTATGATGCTTGCCCGCAAACATCTCAGTTGAGGTTGATGTATTGCATTCCCACCAGCCCTCCCATATTTTAGAAGTACGACACAACATCTGGAAAAGATGTTTTTGAAACAGCTATTGTGTACTACTGGATCCCCCGAATTTGCATATACTCACATGGAGTCTGAGAGAGATCGATCCGAAGGATATCCCCGCCAACTTCCCGGGGACTTCACCCTTCCTAAATCGACGTCTCTACAGCACCGCTTTTTCGACTATCGTCGGGAAAGCTGCCAGTAGATCAGAAAAAAGAGCAATCTAGGTTTTACAGATATTGGGTTCTTCTTTCTCGATCGATCAGACTCTGAGCAAGGCCTACCACTCCTTGGCGATGTAGTTGATCTGTTCCAAGTTGGCGAGACTGTCTGAGCTGAGCCTCGAGGAGGAAAGGCAGTCTGATTTCAGCGGATAAAGCTCGTAGCTTGGATACAAAGAGCAGAGAACTGCGGTGGCTGACAAGCAGGGCAACATGGACCGGAACGATGTCTACATTGCACCCAGCACATATCACAACTAGCTATCCACCAGAACCTTCACAGCAGCCGGAGAAAAAATTGACAAGTTTTCAAAGACAAGGTTATCGACATCAGTGATGCCCTACCCCGTACTAGAGACCCTCCATCAAAGTCGATCCCGACTGGAATCATTCATGGAAGTGTCACATGCAATCATAACCCTAATTTTTGGACATCTTAAACCACCATCTGGTCCTACGAACGGACAACCTATCAGATCTACACCGACGACACGTTGAAAGCGGCGACCAGGTGCAATTCATCAAAGCTCCGCCACATGCAGGTGACGACATACGCACCGCACAGGGCCAGCACACCGGCTTTGGAAGCGTGACCGTTCTTTACAACCGACGTGGGGGGGGGGGGGGGGGGGCTGGCG